GGGCAGATCGAGTGATTGAAGCTGATTTTTTTCATATTTCAACCACATTGCAAGGCCTCGCTGGAAAATATGTTGACAAGGGACTGGTGCGATGTCCTCTGCTCATACACGCGCAAAACCTTAACTAAACCTCGCTAAATAAAGTCGAGAACGAGGCTGCAGAAGCACCTTCATGAAAGGTGTGTTGTGACAAAGAGATGTCCCTTAGAAGGGAGGAACTTTGTACAGCGGTAATCTCCACAACCCAATATTAACCAAATGGTAACCGTTGGCATTCGAGAAAAAATTGAAAAGCCTTCACGCTCCTTTGTACAGCAGCAAAGCGCACTCGTACTTAACTTAACTTGATGGGCTTAAAGATTACAGATATACAGGCATCTTACGATTAGGCCATTCACCAGCCTAAGAGGTACTTACTTATCATTCATCGCCTTGTTAATCATTTACTTGTTCAAGCAAGCGCCACTGCCATCTGTATTATTCCGCGTTGCGAGCTTGCGAGGGTGCGGGCCACTAGTCCCCTATTCGCTGGAGCGACACGAAAAAAATTCTCTTTTATTCAAGAAGCCCAGCCATAGAGCTGCGTTTTTATAATGTGCGTGAACGTCATCATGGACCCACTCTGCTACCGCCCTGGTCCAGAAGTAATCGCAAGGCCGCATCATGTATCCGGTCTACCAAAAGCTCGATTTCGCGGCGTAAACGTCAGAGTTCTTGGTCTTCACTCGCTGAGGGAGCTCAAATTTCTGAATTTACTCTGCTCTTGTGTCCACCGAAAATCTTCAAGGAAGGTCCTTCCCGCAATGCGCTGGACAGCTCAACTACAAGCTCATCTTGCCGAATGTTCTTCTTGCTCTTCTCTTCTTCGACCATCTAACTAATCCACACGGGTAAGCGTAGCTAGAGCATCGAGTGTTGTGCACAAAGTTGAGCGTAAAATGGACATAAGAAAACGTCAGGAACTGGTCCTTTTCACATGAACGTGGTCTTCTTTCAATTTTACTTGCGAAGCGATCTTTCCAGAAGCGCCGAAGCCAATAGGCATTGAGAGGGCCCAAACTTCACCTGCTCATATGAACTTACGAATAAGGTCGCTCTATTTTTTGTCAAAGTCGCCATTGCAATTTCGAAAGAATGGGAATGAAAAGCTATCTGATCGATGTACTCATAGAGTAGATTTCAATGGTAGCTGTCCTACTGACTGAAGACTTATGTCTAATCAAGTGAACACTTCTTAACTTTTCGACGTGTTGCAGAATTTTTGATTAGTTTTCAAAAAAAGCACTATATTCATGAAAAGAAAATAATAACGGCAGCCTTCAGCACTCTTTACAGAACTCCCTCTCTCGAGACCAAAAAAGATGCGGATGTGAAGAAGTAAAGCATACTGTATATCATAGCTGGCATGATGTCTTTGTCTCGTTTTTCGGCCAATTCAACCAGCATTCTCAACGGACCCTTAATCAAATACTTCACAATGAAATGACAAGCATGTAGAGTCAAACGTCAACCAACACATGGAGTGAGAACGGCAATCACATCCCATACAGCAATTACAACTACCAGCAACCAGCACGTCCATTTGGGCACGAATTGGAGGAGAGTGAGTGCGGTCATTGCTCCAAGAGCAATCAGTGATGCCTTGAAGATAGAATATAACCTACAGATCAGATTACTCGTTAGTGCTCGAATGCGCAGGAGCATTTCACGATTAGACAAAACCAAGGAGCGCAATAAACATTTGCTTGCATGCTAGGTAAAATGCGGTACTAACCAGGAAAGGATACCAAGTCGCAGTGGCCATTTAAGATAAGATGTATACCGACGTAGGTAGTTTTGAACGCTGATCTCAAATCTGAATTCCAAATCTGCGAAACGGTTCTGGGAACAAAGTTACAGGTCTCCTCTC